ACCTGGCTGTTCCCCCCGGCTGTGCCCACCTGGCTGTTCCCCCCGGCTGTGCCATGCTCCGCGAGAGGAGGCCGCCTGGCCGCTCACACAGCACGTGGGAACGGTTCAGACAGGCCCTGCGGCGGGCGGGGGAGCAGAATTGCAATGTGCACGCACTTGTCATGGGCTCACCCTGCCGTGGGGAAATGGGGGGGGGGGGTCAGACATTTAGCCCCAGCGGCCTTGACAGATGTCGCGCTTCCTCCTGTCAAAGACAGCGCCCCCCAGGAACAGTCAGCTGCGTGTCAGAGCAGGAATCTCCCGCACCATGGGCTGGCTCAGGGTTTCCCATCGGCAGCGGGAAGAGCCAGCCAGAGGCCCTGACCCCAGAGGACTCCAGCCCTCCCGCTCTGCTCAGCCCAGTTCTGACCCACGAATGCAGCGAAGTGGGTCAGGGTCCCGGTGTCTGGCCTTGCATTGGCCCCTTCGCTCTCGGCGGGGAGCGGGGCGAGAGCTACCTGGCCGCCTCCATCCTTTAACCAGATGGAAATGGGCTTCTGGCTCCGAGGATCGACTTCCCGGGGTCCGCGGTTCACGGGGCCGGCAGGGGAGGTCTTCCTGGGGCTTGTGATGAGGTGCCGGGTGGTGGGGAAGAATTCACGCTGAAAATACCCGCCCACAGTGCTGCTGGGGAAGGGCGTCCGGCCGCTGCTTGGGACAGAGACCTAGTGAACTGTCTTAGCAGCTGTAGGCCCCGGCTGAGATCAGGGCCCCATACCTGGGGAGCGCACGGTCTAAATAGACTGAGGGTGGGAGGGGAAACTGAGGCACAGAGCGAGGCAGTGTCTTGGGCCACTGTCACCCAGCAGGCCAGCGGCAGAGCCAGGGATATAATCCAGGCCTTCCTGCGTCTCCAGCCAGTGCTCTACCCACTAGGCCACGCTGCCTGACGCCCCTCCTCTCTCTCTCTCTCTCTTAGCTGGATGTACTGGACCGACTGGGAGGAGGACCCCAAGGACAGTAAGAGGGGCAAGATCGAACGGGCCTGGATGGACGGCTCCAACCGCAACGTCTTCATCACCTCCAAGACGGTGCTTTGGCCCAACGGGCTGAGCCTGGATATCCCGGCCAAGGTCCTCTACTGGGTGGACGCCTTCTACGACCGCATCGAGATGATCTTTCTGAACGGCACCGAGCGCAAGGCGAGCGGACGCCCCCTCCTCCCCTCTGGCCGGCCGCGATGGCCTTCCCGTTAAGGGCGCGTTTGCCGGGAGGGAGCTCAGGGATAACTTTCCCCCACTGATCCCTCCCACCGCTTCACAAAATGTCCGTGGGCTGGGGCTGTCCTCTTGGACTAGACGGGGGGCTCACTCCATCCCCTCTCCATAACAGTGTCACCCCGTCTCCTGCCCCAGCACTCCGGATCCCAGCGTCCCATCTCGCTGGTCCCTCGAGCGTCCGTCTGCTCTGCGGCCCCCAGCCTCCCTGAGCCCGGAATCCTGTTCATCTTTCATCTGCTCTGCCCAGCAAGGGGGCCAGGCGGGCTCCTCTCCCCTCCCCCCCGAGCTGCCCCTTTTTCCTTAACCCTCCCGCTCCCCGGAGCTGGGCTCCCTCCGTCTCCCCCGGCCAGGACGAGCCATGTTCTCTCTCTCCCGCCCCATGCAGATTGTCTACGAGGGCCCGGAGCTGAACCACGCCTTTGGGCTCTGCCACTACAGCAACTTCCTCTTCTGGACGGAGTACCGGAGCGGCAGCATCTACCGGCTGGACCAGGTGTCCAAGGCCGTCACCCTGCTGCGCAACGAGCGCCCGCCCATCTTCGAGATCCGCATGTACGACGCCCAGCAGCAGCAAGGTACGGGGCCGGGGTGTGTGTG